TCTCCATAATTCACCAAGCAGGCAGGTTTCTCGAAAAAGACTCAACATGATCTGAATTTAGCAAAAGGGAACCAACGACGCAAAGCATCTGTCCAAGCGCACTGCAGTAGGCACGTGTGATAGTGCTGGGTGTAATAGTAGGGCTAAAATAACATGCACATATTTCATACAGGTATGAAGCTTCAGCATTATGAGGACATGGAATCATGAGACTAGCAGCTTATCATAGCTAAAAGCAGATGGGAACTTAGAAGCAAAGCAAGGCGCATGGAGTATGCTTGAGCAAGAGATAAAGTTGATGAACACAAGGTTTTTTGGTAAGGGCAGTGTGAGAAATATCTAAATAAGGAATCGAAGGACGGGAGATGGTGCAAGAAGACAAAATTTGCTGATCGGCTGGAACTGCAAGATAAGGAAGTGGGCGAGATGTTATCGCCGAGGAGCAGACAAAGATCTTTGGAGCCAATCAGAAAAAGACACCCCAAGTTGGATGGAGAGGGGGAAAGGGGATTAAAGGCTATGGTCAAACAGACAAGCAGAGAAAGACGGGTAAGTTAGTCCCTCCATTCAAGGTCTAACTAAGTGCAGGAAAGCAGCAAGAAGGATCTGGTCTACCGTGTTATAGCTATAACTTAATAAATCTTTAAAATCACTTTAACTTGTCTGAACTATCACTGCTTGGGTTCAGAAGGTGAGGTATGCATCTTCAAGCACTGTTGTAGGATCCCTACTCATACCTCATAAAATTCTTACGCAACTCCCAGATCAGAGGCAAAACCTCCCAAGCAGTTCTGTGGGCAAAAGTACCATTTAAGAAGGGTCTTGCACCCCCCACCTCTGACTCCATAGTTGAAACCATGTGGGATTTCATGACTATAAATCATTATGAGGAATAAAAAGTAAGCAACAAGCTCTTTTAAAGATATTGGAGTTTTCTTTTGCAGTTAACCTTGAATAATATCCAAGAACAGATATTAAAACCTTGCTGAGCAACATCAACATCTGGGTGACCTTAATCCTGACGTGAACCCCATCTGCGGGGCATCATATTTCTCTAGTGGCAAAATTAAGTGCAAGCCTGGAGATGCATCCCAGAATCCTCTGCAACATCAGAGAAGGTGGTGGACCAGTTTCCTTCCATGCTGTGTTGCTGGAGGCTGGTGCACTTTAGCTGAGAAGATACTCCAGAACCCTTTGCAACATTACGACAAGTTCTAAAAATGTACCTCTGGAGCACTATAATTATTTATTGAATTATAAATTATTATTAATTATCTCACCCTATCTCCAATGAGCTCAGAGTGGCACATATTGTTATCACCCAAGAACCAGTTCTAGCCTAATAAGAACCCTGTAAATTAAGCTGAGAGACATGGTGACTGACTGGCCAAAGGTCAGTCACTGACTTTGACGGCCAAGTAGAGATTTGCCCTGAATCCCAGTCCTGGGAGCTTGTGATGGACCCAGGAGTGAACAGGAAAGAGGGACTTAAGGAGTAGTGAGGTGAATGACTTTGGCAGCAGACTGGTAGACAGCCATGAAAGAACCAAGACTGAGACCAGAAGATCTCTGTTAAGGATATGCTAGTTACATAACAGGTTAGTTACCCTGCTTTAGTTTTAGTTATAGAATCATAGAATTCTAGAGTTGGAAGCAACCCACAGAGTTATCTGGTCCAACCTCCTTACTGAAGTCCAACTTATGAGGAGTTGTTTTGTGTATTATCGCTAGAACTCTTGTTTTAATGATGGGTTATTTAGAGTTTTTTATATTATTACTGTTTTAATTTGATTTTACTAGGTCTACACGTGAAGGATGGGCTTATAATTTGAACCAATCAGTCAGCCAAGAGAACACTGAGGCGGTCTAAACAAGAGATGACCAGAGCTTGGACAGAGTTTTTGCAGATGTATATCTACAAACCAAGGAGAGCCACGACTGGGTTGTAACTTCAGCTGACACCAATCTGTTACGAAACAAACTAAATGCAAAATAAAGGTGAGGAGATCACCCAGGAATGCAAAGGACCAATTTCATTGTCCTTTCTTAAAACCCAGCATACAAATGTCCTCAGGAACATTTGCTTAAATGTGGCAATATTGATACTCAGTCAAATTTTTATTGTTTGTAACCAACGACCATTATGATGTCAAAACATGATGTTCATTGTTTAATTGCCGGAATAATAATTTTAGAATGCCTCAGGTTTTCTCCTGATAGAGCCACCTGAAGCAGCCATTCCAGTACTTTTGCATTTACTTTGTGCACTAGCAATAAGCATAGTCCTTTATTCCATTGGATTATTTCCCCCCTCCTTCTTTTTGACATATGGTAGTGATGTGCAGACCTATTTTGTTCAATCTTTCCTTTATGCAGGTGTATACATCTCTTTCTTTGCAACACTCTACAAACAGCAATAGGTGAAGGGCTGCAGCCCAGTGGAAGAAGATCTCTTCTGTATGCAGAATGTCTCAGGTTCAATTTCTGCCATTTCCAGGTAGGGCTAAGAAAACACCTGAAAACCACAGAGAGCCATTGCCAATCAGGGTAGACAATGCAAAACTAGAGGGATCTGACTTAGTATAAGGAAGCTTCCTGCATTCCGCTTTGATTTTGGAACCACAAATAATATGTAAGAAGTCCTCAAAATCCATGTTTACAGCCATGATGATGGAGTAACATGGTTAATCCTTTCCTTCATACTATTTCTCCTCTGCCCAGATTAACCTTGCTACATATACCCTCCACCAAAGATACTTGCTCCACAGTACCGATTTGAGTTAGCCACCAACCTAGACAGGGTATTGGAGAAATTCACAGAGAATAAGGCTATCAATGGTTACTAGACTTAAGAAGAGCCCTGATGAATCAGACCAAAAGCCGACCTAGTCCAGCATTCCATTCTCACAGCAGCCAATCAGATGCTGAGAAGCAAGATATGAATACAATAGCACTCTTCCATTCATGAACCCTAGCAAACAGTATACAGAAGCATAGTTCCTTTGATACTGGAAGTAGTACATAATCAAAGCAGCCATTGGCGAAGACAATTCTGGCCATATAGAAGAATCTATGTTCATGTCTTGCTTGTGGTCTTCTGGTTGGCCATGGTGGAAAAAATAGGCCTGCTGCTCTGACCAAGCAGGGTTCTCCTCCTTACATTCTTATGGTACCTGCAGGCTTTCGCCTACAGGATAAATAATAGCTGGGGTGTGTGATTTTTTAATTTACTACTATGGGCACAATCCAATTTCGTCCATGGGACGATTCAGATCACAGATCCTGAATTTGCAACCGGGCCTTGGATAAACACTTCCATAGGGTGAACCATCTCATATTAGAATATACTCATTAAAGGAAACTACATTGTGTAGGATAAACCATGGATTGCTGCGTCTGATTACTATGTGTGTCTGCACATAGCAGCACCATGATCACACCCATATATAGGAATGGGCAAAACGGTCAATTTCAGTTTCTTGTTTTTCTTAATCTTAAATTCAGTTCTGCACATTTCCACATCAGTTTGAGATTTTATTTTTAAAGCCCTTCAGAAAATTCACCAGCATTTTAAGGTGTGTTTCTCCAAATGTATACAATTTTGACTATACACACACACAAACACACACATTTTTGCAAAGCAATTTCCCCTAAAGTAAAGCATTTCTGTAAGCTATATTTACCAATGTGTGCATTTTTATGAACACTTTACTCCAGCATATGCGCTTTTATACGTGTTACTTGGCCAGAAAACTGAACTGCTATATTTGGAGAAGGGCAAATTTCAAAGGACTGCTGTGTTTCAGTTCTGGTATTATTTCAGAAAGTATGAATTAGGCAATTTCACCTTTAAATGCAAACTCAAATCAAATTTCTCCCCCATGGCTATATCTACAAAGAGTCTGCCTTTGTTTCAGCATATTATTTCCATAAAAGCTTATGGAAAGTTTGTCCTGGGTAACTTTTTACTGCCAAAGGGAATCTAGTCCTGAAACACATCCATACTTAAGAGCTGATTACCTATAAGAGCCTCATTACAGTGGTGCCTCGCAAGACGAATGCCTCGCAAGATGGAAAACTCGCAAGACGAAAGGGTTTTTTGTTTTTTGAGCTGCTTCGCAAGACGATTTTCCCTATGGGCTTGCTTCGCAAGACGGAAATGTCTTGCAAGTTTGTTTCCTTTTTCTTAACACCGTTAATACAGTTGCGACTTGACTTCGAGGAGCAACACATAGCACACGGTGTGGTAACCTTTTTTGAGGTTTTTGAAGACTTTGGTGATTTTTGAAGCTTTTCCAAAACTTTTCCGACACCGTGCTTCGCAAGACGAAAAAAATCGCAAGACGACAAAACTCACGGAATGAATTAATTTCGTCTTGAGAGGCACCACTGTACAATGTTATCCAGGAACAAAACAAAATATAATAAACTTCTATGGAAATTCTTTAGGGGAAGAAGAACCGATCTATAGCCTTTAATTAAAAGGTGTTTTAATTACCCAATTTAAAGAAATACTTGGAGCTTTGTTCTCTGTTAGCTACAGTGTGTGTTTCCAATACATTTTTTAGAGTTGTCAGCCAGCTGAACATTTAAATCGATCAGCCTTCTTGTTATCCATCTATTAATTGATGTCAATATTACAGCACATCAAGGTATTTAATTACACTAACAGTTTCTCTCAGTGAGTAACACATAACACCTTATGGAAATGCTCTTAGTGAAACTTTACTCAACAGATATATAGATGGTGTATGACATCAGGAGATTACAGAAGGGGAGCCCAGTTAAAATGCAACAGTAAATTTTTAAAACAAGGAATCAATCAATTTTGTCAATTAATTCTTGCAACCATACAGTTACTGCAGGAATTGCCATCTTCAAAGAAAGGAAAATTCTGGCTACGGTCTGGCTCACTTATGCATGTGCATAAAGTCCCACCGAAGACCGTTCAAACTGTATTCATATCAGACTTCCACTGAACATTTAATGTAACCACTTACCAGCCCAAGAGGATCAAGAGAATTGCCAGTAAGGTCACCGACAGTGCTGTACCATTCATTTCCACAAAGCCGAGACTAGAGACAGCCATTAGTCCCATTTTCATCAACAGCAGCTTTAGACTGGTAGAACAGGAAAAAGAAGGGAAGTCTCAGTTTAGGTGGTAAGAGCCGTCCAACTCTTATACAGATGGTAATCTGCAACGAAAGAGGAACCAAGAACGTCAGTTTGACGCAGTCTAACTCCAAACCAAAAACGCCAACTTTTCCTGTTCTTGCTGCCTAACAGATGCAGAATTGAGAGTTTCCTGCATCAATAGGCCCGAGCAACTCCTTCTCCTCCACCCCCTTTAATGACTGCAGCATCAATAAATATTTACATAGTTGCTGCCTGAGATATCAGAGCTGGCCCACAGGTTTTGCAGCAAGGGATGAATAAAAGATAAGAACCAGCTCGCCTCTCGTGACCTATAGATTTAAAAGCCCGGAGGGCAGTAGGTGAGAAATCGATGGAACTTCCTTATCACTTTTTAGTAGAAAATATCCTAGACAATATGAAGATTTGGGGATGGCTCTGCTGATTAATAGGAATGATGTTCGACAGACAGCTCTGGAAATGTGCTACTCAAAGATTAAGACTCCGTCAGGCAGTGGGAGGGCAAGTTTCCTTCTTGGCAGAGCTGCTAATATGTGTTAGTAAGGTTCATCTCTGGAAGGAAAGGAAGAATCAGTCTCCATGGCAATGCAATCCTTAGCATTCGATTGGCAGCCCAGTGAAGATATGAGGTGCCTTACATTAAGTCCCATAGGCGTTTGGTTGGCCACTGTGAGAACAGGATGCTGGACTGGACTAGGCCTCATCCAGCAGGCTTTTCTTATAAATATAAGACTTGATCCATCAAAGTCAGTTCTGCCTACTTTGATTGGCAGAAGGTCTCTGCCAGCAAGGCCCTCCCCCATGGGTGTAGCCAAGGGGGGACAGGGGGGGACAGCTGTCCCCCACAGATCAAGTGAAACAATATGAATACTTAACTAACTGACCAATCCCATCGGTTCTGCCCCCACACAAGTCCTGCCCCCCTAACCAAGTCCTGCCCCCTCCAAAAAAATGCCCTCCCCAAGACTTCTCTGGAGACTAGACCTAGGACTTTTGGCCTGCAAAGTTTGTGCTCTATCACAAAGTTTGTGCTCTATCACCAAGCGACACTCCGTCCAATCATTGATTTTTCAATCACAGATGGTGAAGACCAGACTTTCCCCAACCCTTGGGATGTTTTGGACTATAAATCCCATCAAACGCAGCTTGAATGTATGAAGGAATGTGTGGGTGTGAGAGAGACAGATCAGGACTGGGGGTGAGCCACACCTGACTCTCAACTCCATAAAACTTTCCCAAATGTTCTAGTTATGTCTGCAACTGTGGCACTCCTGTCTTCCACTGCCTCCCGCAGTTTGGTCAGACTCATGTTTGTAGCTTGGTGTATGGTCAGCAGCCATACACCAAGACAAACTAGTTGCAGTAATACCTGCAACCCATTCCAGATCTGAGGAGAGACATCCAGTCACCGTACGAATTCACCAATAACCTTCTTCCAACATAGCACATTGTTTCAGCAAAATCCTACTAGTTGTCACAGGTTGCTTGAAAGCTAGAACGTAAAACTAGATATCCAGCCTCTGGAACAAGACCAAGTCTAGTGATGATGGCTTTTTAAAAAGAATTAAACACACAAACACAAAGGTGTTTTTTTGCAGTTTGGCCATATTTCTTGAGAATTAGATGTCTGTGTTTTCCTCGAGCAGCTCTGAGAAATGGGCACTCAACAGCCTGAATTCCCAGAACTATAAAAGTACAGAATATATAGTTTCTCCCAAGGGAACAGCTTTGATTTAACATTTGTGGCTTCTCTAATATCTGGCATTTTCTACTCTTATTGTAAAAATAAAATTGCTAACAAAGTTTAATTCTAAGGTGACTTGGCCCTGCTATTACCAAATCATGTTATGCTCCCTGAGCTGTGTAACCAAATGAATGCCACCCCAGCGTTCTCTAGAGACTACTAAAAGGGTTATCCAGTTCCCCAGCTCTGCATAGTAGTTCATAGAGACACCCTTACTTTATTGTATTAATAATGCCAGCGGCTTCCAGATGCTAGTCACTCTGGATCAATACATGCTCTGCCACTTTACTGCTGTCCAGAAAGCAACTGCATTAAACTCGAAGACAGGGAAATTACAGCAGACTACCCCTCTCAGCAAGGAGGGAGTTTTCCTTCAGTCTTTACATTCACTGAGCCAGATGGACCAATGGCAGCATCCTATGATGTTGCATAGCAATGTACGGTTGCCAAGAAAGGTGAGCAGGAGCCTTGAGCTCTCAAGAGTCAGCATCTGGGCCCCAGACTGAGCAAGCACATAGACCACCAGGTCACAGTCTTCTTCACTATGGCGAGATGGAGTGTTTTAGTAAGAATAAGATGGATAGCTCAGTTGGTTAGAGTGTGGTGCTGACAATGCCAAGGTTGAGGGTTTGATCCCTGTATGGAGCAGCCTCATATTCCTGCATTGCAGGGGGTTGGACTAGATGATCCTCGTGGTCCCTTCCAACTCTATGATTCTATGAAGTAAATTTGCTTCTATACATATACATATCAATTACATATACATATTCTATACATATAAATTAGCATGTGAAAAGTGTATGCAAATCTGTAAACCCTCTTTTTTTTTTTACTATGCAGAAGTAGTCATTTTATAATCCAGAGCCATTCATGTTAACACTACCTTTAGTTGTTTAAAATTATAAATGCTTATATTTTTATGTGTTCACAGGATCATTTTATTTTGCGTAAGAGGTTTTTATATTTTGTAAGCCACTTAGAAACCTATTTCAGCATTAAGCTGTATACAAAATAATAATAATAATAATAATAATAATAATAATAATAATACAAATCTTCATTAATAAATGTAACAGAAGGCATTCAAATAGCTCAGGGTACAATGTGTATTTTGTGGGGGGTGGTCTTCAGAAACCATGCTTTTATCCTTGTGGATAAACTGATTAATGCATAAGCAGGACAGAACAGACATATGAATGTGAGTTCTTCTCAAGCCAGTACAAGCCAGAGCAGCGCACGGAAACGCTGTTTACCTTCCCACCAGAGCGTTACCTATTTATCTACTTGCACTTTGATGTGCTTTTGAACTGCTAGGTTGGCAGGAGCAGCGACCGAGCAACGGGAGCTCACCCCGTCGCAGGGATTCGAACCGCCAACCTTCTGATCGGCAAGTCCTAGGCTCTGTGGTTTAAGCCACAGCGCCGCTCACTGTTAAAGCATCTTTAAAGTGCATGGCTTCCTGCAAAGAATCCTGGGAACTATAGCTTTGTAACTACAGATCCCAGGATTCTTTGGGGGAAGCCATAACTGTTAAAAGTGATATAATAGTGCTTTAAATGTATGGTGTGGAGGTGAGCTCAGTGGAGCCAATGTGGGATTTTCTTCCAGTGCCAAAAGAGCCAGGGGTTTTCTAGTTTGGCCCTAAGGCAGCTCAATGCATGCCTTGGAGGAAAGGCAGTAAGATATGGATGTGTGGCTGGGGAAACCCAGCCGGATGGGAGAGGTATAAATAATAAACTTATTATTATTAAGAAATAATCATTCATTCACGGGTAGCCATGACTAAAGCCTGGTTGGCAGACAGTAGACTAGGGGGACTAGACTAGTATACCTTAAATGTTCCCCTGGTGCCTCCTTCCCAAAGCTTGGGAAGGTTCTGCCCAGCTTAGGGAGGGTGATGTGATGCTCATGCGCACGATGTCCTGTGCATGAGCATCATGCCTTCCTCCCTAATCGGCTTCACAAGCTGGCACCTCTGGCCTTAACTGTTCCCCTATGAAAAATGTCACCACACGCCATTGTTGGTCGACATATTTCTGAGGATGCAAAATCCTCATACTGAGACTGTACCCCCCATATCCACAAGGGGATCTGGTTGCATGCAAGAAAATAATAAAGTTGTTTACTTATTTCAAGCAAACAAGCTTCCCACTGAACACAGCCATTCAGCACCCACCTTCATGTGCTGAGCTCAAAAGAGTTTGAACAAGGGGACTGAAGGTAAAAAGGAATCGCTGCATCAATGTGCTCCCCTAGATAAGCTCCGTAACTCCAATTAAATCTGTTGGAAAAATAGGTGTGCGCTGAGATTACACCGCTGGCTGCCGCGCTGTTAAAGCAACACTGGCACCAACTCGCCTCCTTTGCCTTGACATCAATTGGAATAAGCTTGCATGTGAATTGCCCACCCAACCCCCGTAACATATTACAAATCAAGACTAGCATGCCGACACTTAAAGAGGATTGTAAACCTTGGAGAACACAGGTTTATAATGGGAGCTAAAACACCAACGCACCTTTAACTAGAGCAGCCCTGGGAGAAAAGATGTTGCCATAAACTCCGTTTCACTTTCCCAGCATATGCTTTTACAATACATGAACGACATATATCAGCTTCTACACTTCCAACATACAGAGGTCTTACATTTTCCTTTCCACCAGAGGAATGTAGTCTTATCAGCCTGTTTCAAAGGCGGAAGGAAAGGGCTCAAAAGAGAAAGAGCCGGGCAGAGGGAGAAGTAAGATCTTGTTTTTGTGTTGCTGGAAATAACAATCTTGGCAAATAGACAGCAGTGCGCTAGTAAATGTCAAAACAGTTTGCATTATAATGATCTATTTCTATACAATCAACCGAAAGCCAGAAGTTCTGTGTTGTCTTCTTCCCATGCTACCAGCATGGAGCCATGGACAAATGTTTACTTTAAACTATTCATTTTACAGTAAAATGCCCTAAAGTTCAAGGCAGGGTTGCAAAAGCCAACTCTCCAGCATACACCCCAAACTGTCAGTCAAAGCGGATCTTGACAACAAGACAAAATGAAAAGGCATGTTTGCAGAGAGCGCGCCCACAAACTTTTTGTTATTCAAAATTGCTGCTTGAAAACTTTTTTTTTTCATTCAACAAAATATAGACCGCCCCAGTTAATTGTACGCCAGCAATGAATGACACAAAATAGGAAGAAGTTTCTCTTCAGCCAGGTTCCAATACAGGACGTTAACTGAGCTGGGAGCTGAGGCGCCAGCTTGTGTCACGGGGGGGGGGGGGGTTACACACATGACATCATACATGTGACATGGAGACAAGCCGGGGCCTCCCCTCCCAGCATCAGCTACTGTAATTGGTGGCTGGGGGAATTCAAGATGTCATTTTGCGGGTGCCTCGAATAAATAAATCAGATTGAAGCTTGAGTTCTGCGTGAGTGTTGCGGGGGGAAGAGATTTCAGGCCCCTGGCTCCAGGCATAATTTGGGGAACAGACAGGAGAAATACAAGAGAGAGGGTGCCCAGAACTTCCCCTCTCCACATGTTCCCTCCCTAGAAAAGGAGGAGTTAAACCTTGCTTCACTGCAAAATCCACCCCCATACACCTCAGATTAAAACATTTAACTCCCGCAGGCCACACAATTAATGTAACAAGTAGTTAGGCCCCATCACTCTAGCTGCTGCACTCTTTTATGTTTCAAATATTAAATTGCAATGGAGTTCTTCGCTAATAAAACATTTACTGTTTCCATCACACCTCGAGGGGTATGATCAGGGCCACGGAGCTGCCGCAAGTGTATACAATGAGAATCCCCTGCAGTCAACAAAAGAGCAAGTGTGGACAAACTCTGGCTGGTAATATGGTTTTGTCCCCCATATATTCCCTTTCAAGGGGCGGGGAGGGTGTTCCATATATGAATGAAGCTTCAGGAAGAAGTGACAAATACCAGGTTCAGGAGATATTACCCAAGGTACTGACTTAAAAGAAGAAACCCTGCATTTATTTCACAGGTATACAGTAAATGTCACTGTCCCCAGTTGCATCCCAAAACCCAGCAGACTCCAGTCGAAAAAAATGCCACTGAGATCAGCATCTGACGCACAGAATTAGGGTAGGTTCGCCTTTGTCCATTTAAAGGTGTGGCAGCGAGGACAAAGTGAATCAGCAGGTTTACTGCCTCCATAAAACTTGGAGCACCAAGTCTGAACACATCGAGGTATCATGGAAATGGTGACCTTTGTAGACTCTGAAAGCTACACTTGACACACGGTGTCTAGAATGTAATTATTGTGTTTATATCAAGGCATCATGCAGGATTCATCCCACCCCATCCCATTTTATCCTTACAACAACCCTTTGAGGTAGTTTAGGCTAAGAGCAAGTGATCAGCCCAAGGGCACCCAGAAATCAACATGGCCATGTGGGGATCTGAATTTGAGCTTTCCTCCCCTCCAATTCTAACCACCATAGTTTGGGTCCTATTCTTTAATTTTCTCATATATACCGTATTTCTGTCTTGGTACTCTAGAAAAGAGGTTTATCGTGCCAGTCTCCCTGAAGGGCTAGTTTTATCACATGCAGGAAATGCATTCAGAAAATATCACACCTCTTCGCCTGCACCTGAGTGTCCAGAATTCTAAACTGCTGGTACCGGTGACCATGAAGGCCTTCACTGGTGTACCAGCCCTCTAAGCTTTCGTAACAAAACGCAGTCAGTCCTAAGCCCTCGCTTAGAAAGAGAGTTTATGACGCAAATGTGCACACCACTCCAAAAAAGCCTGGTGAAACCTCTCAGTTATTGTAGATAACTTTTAACAAGCAAGATTTCCCATGGAACCAACTGCAGGGGAGCACCATGGCAGCTTAGCGGATCAGCTGATAAGTGGCTTAGCGATCAGCTGTTAAGCGGCTTAGCAGATCAGCTGTTAAGCGGCTTAGCGGATCAGCTGATTAGCGGCTTAGCGGATCAGCTGATTAGCGGCTTAGCGGATCAGCTGATTAGCGGCTTAGCGGCTTGGGGAAAAGGGGGGGGGGAGGAAAAAACCTTGCAGGAACTCCCAAGACATTTTCGTCTTGCGAAGCAAGTCCATAGGAAATTCGTTTTGTGAAGCACCTCCAAAACGGAAAACCCTTTCGTCTAGCGGGTTTTCCGTCTTGCGAGGCATTCGTCTTGCGGGGCACCACTGTAACTTTTAACAAGCAGATTTCCACACGGAACCACACTGCAGGGGAGCACTATGGCATGGCACCTTAATCATTATGCCACATGCCAGAGTTCTCTTCAAGCACCAAAGTGCACTTGGACTTCACTGCAGTTGGTCCTCTTTTTGCCATTACAGCTGGGTCCGCCCAGTTCAGTTCCGGGGGTCTGCATGCAAAGGCAAAATCACGCAAAGTCAGGAACCCCCTGAGCATGCCAGAGCCCTCATACTTCCTTGTCAGATCCTGCTAAGCAAGGAAAACACGCTGGGTGCACAGGTAGGTTGTGTGTATAAATGGGGGTATTTAACAGGACTCCTTTCAGCAAAGAAATGGCCTAGCATCCAATGTATGCCTTTTTCTTTTCTGTTCGTTCTTTCTTTCGCACATGGATCAAACTAGCATATGTTTATGTTTGAAAATTCAAATGTTTCACATATTATTTAGCTGTACAGTGGATGCTCAGGTTGCGAATGTAATCTGTGCGGGATGCACGTTCGCAACCCGTGTCTGCGCATGCGCGGGTTGAGATTCGGCACTTCTGCACATGTGCGACCGCCGAAACCCGGAAGTAACCTGTTCCGGTACTTCCGAGTTTCGGCAGTCCGCAACCTGAAAAAACACAACCTGAAGTGGCTGTAACCCGAGGTATGACTGTAATTCCTGCATTACGGGGGGGGGGCGACTAGATGACCCTTGGTTTTCCCTCCCAACTCTACAGTTCTATGATTCTACTATTTCTATTTTTATTATGCTACTGCTGCTGCCACCTTAGCACTAATACTTTAGGGTATCTGAGGCACTTTAGGCCGGTTTTGCCAACTTCTCACACAAATATTATTTTATGGTCATGTGGCATTTTAATACCAAAAACAATTAAGTTATCAGAGCAGTCAAATCTAGTAGACACATTTTTTAACATAAGAACTACACCAATTCTTTTAAGCATTGCTGCTTTGGTTTCAGATCTCAGATTGCTTTCTGCCAAACAAGCAAAAGTGATCCCACATTATTCTCTGTCATCGGTTAAAAACGTGTCTCGCTCTCTGACCTCAAGACAATGCTTGCTATGTTGCTGCAGCTGGTACTTTTCCTCATTTATGTGTTAAACGCAGCACTTGTGTCTTGTAGGTCAACTGGCCAGAGTCAGCCTTACTGCAAAACAACCTTCCCCAACCTAGTGTTTAGAACTTCAACTCCCATCAGCCCCAGGCGGCACAGCCTTGTTGCTTGAGACTGATGGGAGTCTGGTCTCAGACAGGCCTATGCAGACAGCTAATTTTTTGGATTCTGTAGGAAGTGCTTAAGAGTTGAGATCCATGACACGTCATAGCCTACCTGATCCTCCATCAGCCCATGCAGGTAACAGAGAGCTGCCTTGGTAGTTCATCTAAGCTCAGTGTTGTTTACACTGATTGGCCATGGGTCTCCAAGGTTTCAGATAGGGATCTTTCCTAGCTCTGCCTGGAGATGCAAAGCACAACCTCTACAAGTGAGCAAAGACTCTTCCATTCCAGCAAGCGGAGGCTGGCCTGGCCACATTTACAGTCTTCCGGGGGGAGAGGGGACCGCTTTCTGCTGAAAGGTAACTTGAGATGCAAGCAGAGGAGGAACTGAAGGCCAGAAACAGACCTTCTGAACTTCCGGTTTCAGCTTCCCTGCAAGCAGAGCTTTAACCTCATGACCACCAGCTCACCCCCGTGAGCTGCTCCTCTCGTTATCACCCTCGGCATGGAAGCCACCACAGCGCCAAAGATGGCCTGAGAAAAGTCGAGTGCTGCTTGGCAGGAGCCCATCCTTGTGCCAACACTGCTTCTCCAGAAAACAGGAGCATTAATTAAAAAATAGATATTTTTGCCTGACGCAATTCCATAAAAATTGCGCTGTCATCTTGTCTGAGACCTGAGATTGCCCTTCTCCCAAGGTTGCCCTTCCTAAAATGCATGGATGAGTGAAGACTTGGACCCAGGTATTAAGGTCCTAGTTCAACCCTCAAAGGCTGCCCCTCAAGCTGCTCTTTCAGGCCCACAGCCTCCCCCCAGACCACACCCCTCACAAGCCCAGCTCAGGTATTTTTGCCTGGTTGGAATGTTGCCACAAACTAATAGCGCTTTTTGCTTACCAGGATGCAGGACAGAGAGATATGTGCAGACATGTAGAAACTAGCCTACAGTACAAAGACAAAAATTAAAATTTATTACCCTAGCTACTTTTGCCTTTAACCCTGCTCACCACTGGCATGTGCCCCCACCCCACCCTCAGAAAGTGGACTGGAAAAGATTTCTCACTGCTCCCATAATTAACTTGAGAAGCACCACCCCCCCCCAAAAAAAAAACCCAGGGTATGTGTGCACAAGGTCACATTAAACCCCGTGGAACAGAAAAGGGCACAGCACCTTTCTCAGCCCCTTTTCCAGATACCTCCCATCATGCTGCTCTTAAAACGAGACTAATACAACAGCCAACTAGGAAGGAACACAGGTACCACACACGTGTCGTCAGTTTCCTCATTTGGAAGCCCAGCAAATGAACCGCAAGGGGAGCAAAAGCAATTTTAGAGGCATAACAAAAACTATACCGTGCAGCTGCAGCCAGAAGTCAGCTTCATTCATTCTCGGGGTCAAAAGGCTGCAATCGCAAATGAGGTTTCTTGATTCATTTAGAAATTGCGGGGAGAACACAGATACTCCCCCAGTTCCTAGGAATGCTGAGTCTAGAGAACCTCTTCCACGTGTTTATGTAAGAAAACAGGCATTCAACCACCCCGCTCCCTTAAAATATCATTAACTTTATTACCAATTGAATGAGTTCAGGTTCTAAGGCAGCAGCCTCTCTCTCCAATGCATGATTCATTCAACAGAAACACTAAAAGCTCCTTACCTTTACAGTTGGAACATGCTTTGCCCACAAGTTTCTTCTGGCTGGCTGACTCTCAAGTAGGAAATGTATTAGTTGCATGCTTTGAAGGCGGAGCGAAGGCTATGGGCTGGTATTTATTTTTTTGGGGGGTGGACTTCCTCAGATGAGGTACAGGTGTTTCGAAATCCTAACTTGAAAAAGCCAGGAGCAAGGAAACCCTGGAACTACTATTCCCAGCATTCTGTTCTTCCGCCACCACGGGGCACAATGGATTGTGGGAGCTGTAGTTCTATTTTCTACTCTGTGCCTAGAGGACTTTTGCTAGGCGGGTGGGTGGGGAGAAATGTAAATGCAAAAATCCAAACTTGCATGAATAAGGGAGATTGTCGGTCTGTTTCACGTGTTCTTTTACAGTGAGAAAATATATCTCCATTGTTTTGGCGTTTTATAAAGACTGGCTTATCTTTGCAATACTCGGCTTTGGTGATGGTGCAATTTACTTTCAGGACCTTTCCACATTTTAAAAAATATATATTTATTTTTAATTTGTATTTTATTGTTATGAAACTAATTTTAACTATTTTAGTTTACCCATTTATATCATTTCCTCCAAGGAGCTCAAGGCGGCTGAGATGGTTCTCTTCTTCCCTTATTTAACCCGCACAACAACCCTGTGATGTAGGCTAGGTTGAGAAACAGTGGCTGGCCCACAGTCACCCAGTGAGCTTTGTAGCTGAGTGGGGATTTGAACCTTGGTCTCCCGGAGGTCCTTAAATCAGAAAAGAAAGAAATGCTTTTCTAATATAAGAATGAAAACAAGTTGGGAGTGCATCCTCACCTCCCAGATCTGCTAGCTGGAAGGGGTTAGGATGGGGCACAGGTTCCCCTCCACTAATGGAAAGGAACTTGATTTGGAGTAGGGGGTTATGTCCACCACAAAATCCTTGACAGTGCCTGTTGAAAAATTTGCAGGCATGGATCTACCATAGGCAGCATCTGCACCAGCAGTAGCTTGTACTGGATCCTGAAATGGGGCAAAGAATGGGGGGATGCTGAAATGGGGCAAAGGTGCCCTAAAAGGTAAAGGGACACCCTGACCATGAGGTCCAGTCGTGACCGACTCTCGGGTTGCAGCACTCATCTCACTTTATTGGCCGAGGGAGCCGGCGTACAGCTTCCGGGTCATGTGGCCAGCATGACTAAGCCGCTTCTGGCGAACCAGAGCAGCGCACGGAATCGCCGTTTACCTTCCCGCTGGAGCGGTACCTATTTATCTACTTGCACTTTGACATGCTTTCGAACTGCTAGGTTGGCAGGAGCAGGGACCGAGCAATGGGAGCTCACCCCATTGCGGGGATTCGAACCGCCGAGACTCTGTGGTTTAACCCACAATGCCACCCGTGTCCCTTAAAGGTGCCCTAGGATCCCTTGTATCCCAAGCCCCTCTGCTCTTCCAGGATGCCCCAGGACCAGACCTGTCAACTCCACCACGTTGGACCTAGCTGTTTAATTCCCAGTATTGGCAGGCTTTTTAAAAAAACAGAGAAAGACAAGAACTGTAGCTCAGCGGCAGAGCCCACGCTTTTCCTGCAAAAGGTCCCGAGTCCATCCCCAGCATCTCCAGGTAGATGAGAGACCCTGAAAGACCCTGCCCAAAAAAATAAATGAGTGATGCTGCCAGTCAGTGTAAGCAATACAGAGCTTGGTGGATCAATGGTCCAGCTCTGTATACTGTGCCTTCCTGCCTCATGCCAGATGTTGGCCCCTCACCTCCTGCCTGGCCAACACAAGGCAGTGCCACATCACTCCCCCCCCCCCATCCAACATAGGGTTGCTCTGCTTGTCATTAGAGCCTGACACCTTATTCTGCCAATACTCAAGGTAAGGTTTCCATCCAAATAGGAATGTAGTTTGGTTTTGTCTCCCGTCTTCTGTGCTAGTATAATCAGTCAATTTAGACATAACTGCATAATTAGATATTTCATCTTCCAGTTATTTAATACTGGTGGTTAATGCCCCTCCCTCTCTCTTTAATCTGATTTTTGTGATTAATATATTGCTCCTTTATATGTACTCAGGAGAATAATGAGTTACTACACAAAGCTGTTCTCAAGGCCTACCAGATATTTACCAAAGCCAGGTCCAACAGCAGCACATGGCAACCTCAGGCAGTTCCCAGAATGTGCTGGAAAGCTGGATCTGCAGCCACAATGTTAAATTTCTCCCGAAGTAGCATCAATAAGAATAACACTCTAAATGGACCTCCAGAATCACAAGCCCCATGAAAAAGGTTGCTGCTGCACGGTACACAATTAAGCGGGATTTGAGCCTCTTCGCACATGCATTGTTCCAGTGTTTTTACTAATATTGTCTTGGCTGTCAGGCTTCCCATAAGTTGGTTGGCATAAGTTAAAAAAATGTTTTATGTTAATATATGCCTATTTGCTTGTTTTATCCTCCCTCCCATCCATTTTGTTTGTTTGTGTGTGTGTCCTGTCTTTAGAGATTATAAACCCGAAGGCAGGGCCTTTATTGTTTGTCCTAACCAGCTTATCGATGCCAGGATGTCAGTGCTACCTGTGATTGTATTTAAAGGTCCCCTGCCCCCAACAATGGTGTTACTACAGTCTTCTCAGCAATGATCACTGATTTACTATTGTAAAAGATGAAATAGGTGCTTATAATTTATTATTTGTATACCACCCATCTTACTGGGTTGTCCCAACTTCCAGCATAATATACATAGTAAAACATTAAAGTTAAACCTTTAAAAGCTTCCCTATACATGGCTGCCTTCAGATGCCTCCTAAAGTTTATACTCATCTCCTTGACATCTGATGGGAGGGTGTTCCACAGGGAGGGTGCCACTACCAAGAAGGCCCTCTGCCTGTTTGCCTGTAATCTCACTTTTCGCAGTGAGGGGACCACCAGAAGACCCTCGGCGCTGGACCTCAGTGAACGATGGGGGTGAAGACGCTCCTTCAGGTATACTGCGTTGAGGCCGTTTAGGGCTTTTAAGGTCAGCATCAGCACTTTGAATTGTGCTCAGAAACATACTGGGAGCCAACGTAGGTCTTTAAGGACTGGTATAGCTGCCTCATTCTGTATTAGTTGTAGTTTCCGAGTCACCTTCAAAGACAGCCTCACACAGAGTGCATTATTACACATATATTTAACCTCCAGTTATCACTGACTAATGCTTACATCTCATTGCCATTCAACTCCTACCTCACCATTTTCTCTTTTATACAGCTGCTAACTAAGATCTCACTTTGTGCGTCTGAGGAAGTGACTTCGAGTCCCAAAAAAAGCTTATGGCATAATCAGTTTGTTTGCCTTTTAAGATTCTACACCATTTTAATTTCCACAGTGTCCCAGAGTGAAATTAACATGGCTCCCCAACCTGGCCGACTGCTGCTCATCATATAGGAGCACACATTAATGGTTATTTTGATATTCATACTTTGTCCCCATGACTTTTGGGTGGGAACCCCTTTATACAAACAACTGGATCCGCTGCAGCTTGTTTCCTGTCCCATAAATGTGTATTGTAACCACGAATCTTAGTACTATGATGAACTCACTAACGGTGGGAATTATAGTGCTTTTCTCTTCCTTCCCCTCTCCCCGCTTTAAAATTAAATGAATAAATAAAAGCAGATGTTTTGTGTTTTACCCATTCGATCTCAACCATTTTCAGTTAAGGTCTTGCCCTATGTTATGGCCTGGTTAAGGTGAATGAGGGCTTTTGAAATGGAAATGGAAAATTGCACTAGTGTCTCTCATTTGCTTCATAATAGTCGATGCGTCTGAGGACAAAACACAGCTAACCATCCTTGCATATTGATTTAGCTGTTCCTCAGGTGTCCTTTTATTCATTTTTATTTGGAAAATCAGATATCATATTGGTTCATGCGGGTGGCGAGGCGGGGAACCTTAAACATAAGATCTATGAAACAACCAACAGGAAGTGCCTGCAAAATGAATGCACGTAGAGTTTTAGCAGATTACTGGAATAACAGCTAAGAAAAAGCCTGTAACTCACCCCACACTCTGCAAATCCTGACATTACCCCCAAACCCAGCTGCTGAGTAGACAATAAGTGATGGCATTGTTTATAGGTTGTTGTTTTTTTATGGGGTATTAAAAAACTAGGGTCAGCAGGTTTTCTCATGGAATGGAGTAAAATATTAAAGGGTTTGAACTGAGGCGACATCTGCACGCATAGGACCACAGAAGACTAATTGATTCATGGACGTGTGAAAGAGAGATTCTTTGTTTCAATTTCTGTTGTATTCCTATTTAAATATTTATTTCTCAAATGTAAATTATGTTGTACTCTAGCGGGATGGAGGATGGGGGGGGGCGAGGAAAGAGAACCACCCACCCGATACCTCTTGAACTGCAGCTTACGCGTGCCCTTCTGGTGAAAGGAAAAGGATACCGTTTTATAAACAACTCAGTGCAGGGAGTGATATTCAGCACATATTCAGTGCTGTTTTCCCTAAAAAATGTTTAGGGGTACTCTCATTTTGACTCAAGAAAATCACCATTTTATGGTTCAAATCGGGGAAAATAAATACAGTAAAAGGACAAAAGGACAGAGATTCACAAAATGTTTAGGGGTATGTGCCCCCTGCGTCCCCCCAGAAATAAAGCACTGTATATATTAAACTATCCTTGCGACTATTTGTTGAACAATTTCTTTGACATGCCTGGACTGAATGTCTGCCTGCACAGATTTATGGAGAAACTGAAACGCTAGCAAAGATTAGCAACAAGAAGTGTGTGTGTGTGTGTGTGTGTGTGTGTGTGTGTGTGTGGTTCAACATAAGATCTCGCTGATCTTTATTTTCCAATGAAGAATGTTAATAGGTTTTGCAGTAATACTAATAAGGGGTTGATGCCTTTAAATGCAAAGGCTGAGAGTTGGGAGAGTGCGCAAATTCCAAGTGACTGGTTAAAATAACACACTGGAATTGGTTTATATTTTTACATTGTGATGAAAGCTTTTCATCTTGATTATGTGCAGACAGCAGATGTTATTTAACCCTAACCAAAGAACAGGGCTGTAGAGGGTAAATATTAATAGGAGAGCTCCTCAAATAAGGCTTTTTTGTGAATATTTCCAGCAAATTAAGAATGACTACCCTCATCTACATTTTTGGGGACAGCTATGTGTCCCCATATGTGGGGCACACATAGGGGCTTAGTCATGCTGGCCACA